CCCGGAAGGGCAGCCAACGGGAAGGTTGAACATGGGCGGTGGGGGAAGCTTTGCTCTCTCTTTGGGGACTACAACTCCCCAAAGCCCCAGAGACTATAGGGTGGGGGATTCTGGGACTTGTAGTCTGCAAGACCGAACCTCCTCAGCCTCAGTTTTTGGGGGAAATGTCACCGTTGTGTTTGGCATTGTGGCGCTTATCACACTCTCCTCTCCTCCTCCTGCAGGACACAGACATCAAACTAAAGACAGCCCCTGTGGAAGAGCAGCCTGGCCTTTACTGCTACCAGCCGCACGTCCCACCAACGTATTGCGCCTCTCACGCCTTCCATCAGGTAAGGCCACAGGCTGGGCAACATTTGAACTCACTTCCCTGTTGGAAACCATGAGCCCCGTCACAAGTGGAATGACTTGTGTCTAAATCAGAATTCATCAACCGCAATTCCCCCGGGGGGCAGGTGGAAAATATAAGCCCACCTCCATTGTATTCATGTATCTTCCGTATATTTGAACCCAACTTCAAATATGGTAGATTTTGTCCGTGCTAAACCAACACCCTTGGATTCAAGTCATTAAAGACCCGGTTAGAGGCAACAATGATTCTGTATCTAGAAGCAGTGCTCCGTGAAGGGGGAAAAACTGTCTGTTCTTGTCAGAAGAAACAGGCAGCTGTTCCCCCTTCAGGGGCTACTCTTTCTTCTAATGGGGGTTTGCCTCAATCGACACCTATTATAATTAGCCAGCTGGGGAAGAAAACCACCTTGTTTGTCCCTTTGACATCTCCAGCACTAGGAATGAATATTCCAAACCTGTGGTCTCCTCGTGGTCTTAAGTCCGGTGGCATTCAAATTACGAGTCACTTGTTACAGGTTATAGCCATTAGGGGATTCTGGTCATTGTAGTCGCCCACGAAGAGAAACTTTGCCAAGCTCTGCTTATTAAAGGCCACTTCCTGGATCTTTTTAGCTGGGATGCGTTTTGGACAAGGGGGTCACGGTGGCTTTTACTGGGGCCACGGCAGGGTGAGTCGGACAGAAACCACGGTGTCGTTGACCCGAGTCAGCAGTCGCGGTGACCTCCCTTCCGGTGCCAGGGGAACAATCAAACACCCACAATGCGCCTCTCGCCCTTGTAAAACCTCTCAAACCGGCCCGGCCTGACCGGAGGGTTCCCCCATCCTCCCTCTCCCCCCCAAAAAACCACAAGGCAAGGATGAGCGCAGAAACCCATAAAATGGCAAACAGCCTTTAAAACGCCCTGCTTTTGCCCCCAATGAGCTCAGCCACCTCCTTCCTGGACTTCCAAGGAGACGCTGAAACCAATAAAAGCCACGTTACGACACCGCCGACACCGATTCGCCTGGTCTCGTCACCCTAGGCGACTAAGTAGGGCCTGGCAAAGGCAAAGGCACCACCTTCTGGTTGAGATGCCCTCTGAGGCGGGAGCAGAATTAGAACCCAGAGCAAATCTCTTGACCTCCCGTCCTAGAAAATACATTTGCTGACCGCTTTCCTGGGGGCTGTGCCATAATGGCAGGACGGGCAAGCTGAATTCACCTGGATCTGTCTCAGAACGCACCCAAAAAGGGGCCCCAGATCAAACCCACCCTGTTTCCACGGTGGGCAACCCGGGCTGAGCAGGCGGGCAGCGTGGCCGAGATCAACGACCCTGTGCTTTTGTTTTGGCAGTATCCTGCCGGGAGCAGCGGCTACCCCGTCACTTACATCTCTGCCTCCCCGTACCCCTACCAACGGATCACGCCCCACGGGGCTCCGGAACACCCTCAGCCTCTCTTCCCGAAGCCCATCTACTCCTACAGGTAACCCCCCACGGCCTGTCTTCCAGGGCAGCCTCCCAGAGCCTCCGCCGGGCCCCTGGAAGGGCAGTGGGTGGGGTGGGAGGCTGAAAGAAAGGGATTTATTTTTTCCAATGAAGAGGAACAGGACGGGCCATCCACAGCCACTGGTCCTTGGGCAGAGGCAGATATTTGGAAGGGGTCCCAAGGATCGGGTCAGGCTGTTTAGGGCGGTCAGAAAGGCTGCCCGCGGCCATGCTGGCCGGTGGCTCCAGGAGGGAAAGGAGGAGGTTTTCCAAGCTCTGTGCTGGGCCAGCTTTGCTTGCTCTGACCGGCAGGGTCCCAGGTAGAGTAAAAAGGGTGCCTCCCAGCTAAGACCTTTGAATAGGTCTTCCTCCCTTCGGCTTCCCCAGCCTTGACGTCTTCCGGGTGTGTTGGGTTACAATTGGCTGGGGATCATGGGTGTTGTGATCCGACGCATGCAAAAGATTCTTGGTTGAGGGCGGAGAGGAATTAGGGAAGGCAGGGAGGAGTCCTTTCTCCCCCCCCCACAAAAGCCTCGACAAGTACAAGTAGCTCCAGAGCTAATGAAGTGGTTGGGCCAAAGCCGAAAGGCTCATCTTCATGGCCCTGAAGAACAGCAAAACCGGAAGCCTCCCCGTCAGTGAGATTTACAACTTCATGACTGAGCACTTCCCTTATTTTAAGGTGAGAGAAGGGGTCACAGAATCACAGAACGGCCAATTCAGAAGGGGTCCCCCTTGCGGTCATCTAGTCTAGCCCACTTTTCTGGCACAAGGAGTTGTTATTGGTGATGAGCAGTGATGGGGGTAGTTGTACCTTAGCTGGGGCGAGAGGGCCCTGCTTACTTCTGAATCAGAGCACTCTGTGTCCCAGGATTTTCCGTATGAGGAAGCTGTCTGGGTACGGTTTCTAGGCTGTTCTATTCCTCTTCTAAGTTATGTAAGATCCTAGTCTTCATTATTCCATGGTTAGTAGGCATAAGAAGAAGGAGCTGCTTTCTCTGCCTCTGAGCATTGCTCCTTCCAGCTGAATATTTTTGCTCCACCTGTGGATTCCCTGCATGGGCTGAAAGGGGCTAGACTAGATGACCTTCAGGGAACCTCTTTCAAATTTAGGGTTTTATGATGCAATGCCCAATATCTGGAGCTCCCGTTCCCTAAAGTCGAGGACAATCCCTTGATCTTTGGAAAGTTATGGAAAGATGTTGCGCAAAACCGGTTTCCTTTTAAATCCCGGCTCTCTAAACGAGAAGGGAGAGGTACTTCAAAGCCGGGTGCGGGATCCGCCTTTCTCTCGCCCTCCCCTCCACCCGGCTTTCCGTCCACGTAGGAGTTGGGTTGTTGTGTTTCAACTAGAACAGAGCCGGGTTGCATCAGAGGCAAGAACTGAAGCAGCTCAGGAGCAGTTAATTGGGCTCGGCCTATGTCATCATCCTTACCCAGTTTTTCCCAGCATGGAGGGGGAGCGAAGTGTCTGTGTGTGTATATATATATTTTCCCCCTTTTCCCAAATTAATTGCCTTCTCCACGCCTTGGCTCCCTGCTCTGGGAGCCCAGTGGGTGTCTTGCCATTTTCTAAATAATTGTTCTGTGCAATTAAAAAAAGAAAGAAAAGAAAACAGAGGAGGTGGAAGCCCTGGATAGATGCCTCTCTGGCAGGATGAGAAGCATGTCTCGGAGGGCATATCCCGTGAAGAAGCTCTAAAAAGAAAGAATAAAGACTGAGGGACAGATCAAAAGGAAGACTTTTAAGCCACAACACAGGGAAGGCCAAAGAAAAAAAAAAAAGGAAAAATACAGGTTGTTCCAGCTGATCATTCAAGCTGCAATACCTGGGAAAAGAGGTGCAGGAGGAAGAAAAATATCTGAGTTTAAAAGTGGGGGGGGAAAGCAGGCAGGAGACAAACAGGAAGAAGGAACGAGAGTCAATTTCCCCCCCCTAAAACAGATCGTCTTGTTAAAACGTTCTTCATCAAAATCTTTTCTCCGGACCTGTAATTCCTCTCCAGAGCTTGGCAAGCTACTTTTAAAAAATGAACTCCTTTTTTAAAAAGCTGTTTTTTTTAACAAAAACTAGTTCATTCCCATTACTTGTTACTTGTGTCTGAGAAGTAATCAGTTACAGTTGTGGTCTGAAGAAGGGGGCGAAGAAGGTCCCAGAAAGCTTACCTAGAAATGTAATAGTTAGGCTTCAATGTGCTACAATGTTTTCCTCTCTTTAAACATATATATATACATTGTTTTTGTCTGATATGTTACATTATATATTACTTTGCTGGATATTTTTTCCTTTTGGCTACATCCGATTACCTGGTTTAACTCTGTTCCTACCCAGGAGGAATAACAGGGTTGCCAAGGGACGTCTCTTGGTTAGCCTCCCCAAAGTCGGCTGAGATGAGACCGTGGGGACCCCATGAAAGGGGGCTGGTTTTCTCAGCTGTCCGATCCTTCAAACTGGAGAAACTGGAGAACGTCATGCTTGCAGATTTTGGAGGTTCCGTCCCTGACTTACGATATTCCCCTGAGCTATCAAGGTTCTAGTCCTCAGCAGGGGTTCAAAGAAACCATCAAAGCTGCTTTATAGCCCATTGGGCCAGACCTGCAGACTCCTCGGGCTGGCAGAAGCTTCTCTGGGGGGGGGGGAACAGAGGC